TGTTGAATGCTTATTGTTGAATGCTTATTGTTGAATGCTTATTGTTGAATGCTTATTGTTGAATGCTTATTGTTGAATGCTTATTGTTGAATGCTTATTGTTGAATGCTTATTGTTGAATGCTTATTGTTGAATGCTTATTGTTGAATGCTTATTGTTGAATGCTTATTGTTGAATGCTTATTGTTGAATGCTTATTGTTGAATGCTTATTGTTGAATGCTTATTGTTGAATGCTTATTGTTGAATGCTTATTGTTGAATGCTTATTGTTGAATGCTTATTGTTGAATGCTTATTGTTGAATGCTTATTGTTGAATGCTTATTGTTGAATGCTTATTGTTGAATGCTTATTGTTGAATGCTTATTGTTGAATGCTTATTGTTGAATGCTTATTGTTGAATGCTTATTGTTGAATGCTTATTGTTGAATGCTTATTGTTGAATGCTTATTGTTGAATGCTTATTGTTGAATGCTTATTGTTGAATGCTTATTGTTGAATGCTTATTGTTGAATGCTTATTGTTGAATGCTTATTGTTGAATGCTTATTGTTGAATGCTTATTGTTGAATGCTTATTGTTGAATGCTTATTGTTGAATGCTTATTGTTGAATGCTTATTGTTGAATGCTTATTGTTGAATGCTTATTGTTGAATGCTTATTGTTGAATGCTTATTGTTGAATGCTTATTGTTGAATGCTTATTGTTGAATGCTTATTGTTGAATGCTTATTGTTGAATGCTTATTGTTGAATGCTTATTGTTGAATGCTTATTGTTGAATGCTTATTGTTGAATGCTTATTGTTGAATGCTTATTGTTGAATGCTTATTGTTGAATGCTTATTGTTGAATGCTTATTGTTGAATGCTTATTGTTGAATGCTTATTGTTGAATGCTTATTGTTGAATGCTTATTGTTGAATGCTTATTGTTGAATAAGCAGCTAGCAGTAGCTGAAACATCTTTGAATAAACACCAATCAAAAGGAGTAATATTATGATTTGCCTCATGAAATAATCTCTTAAAACTAAGACTAAGACTATTTTCAACCTAACGGGTGGCCTATTAATAGTGTGACCACAAGTTTAGAACTCATTAATATTTAACAGGTTGCCAAATTTTTTATGCAAATCTAAAGAAAAATAGAAGCCCAAATACCTGCTGCTTCAGGTCATAAGGATCAGCTCCTTTCTCCTTCATATCAGCAGTCTTTGCAGCTTCTCTCTCAACCTCTTTCTCATAGGAATGCATCTCCTTAACGATACGTTTGCAAGTAGACGTCTTGATTTTCAGATTTCTAAGAGTTGCCATGTTAAGCCTGTTAAAGGAGACATTACCCTGTGAAAAAACCTTTTTTCACACAAACAAAACCAGGTGATGAAAAAAAGCATCACAAGTTCACAAATCTGAAACTGTGTGCCTCATCTCATCCAATCTTTGAGGCACCGAACAAAGTAGCAGCCCGAGGTTTTTTGAAGCTTCAGGCTAAACATCTAAATGAAGCCTTATCTTCGGAAAATTGGGACCTTCATTAATAAGATTTTTTTATATACATATTTTTTAGGCGGGTCTTGAGTGAAAGGGTAAATGGCTTAATGGTTGAGCCACCTCTGCATCAAAGCAGTAGAATCATGTGTTTTCCACCAAAACATAAAACAAAAAGATATATTCCTGCAAAACACAAGATCAGAATGTTTATCAAGTTCCTGCAAAACACATAGATAACAGCAATAAGCATGGGAAAAATGACTGTATCTTGACACAAGATCAGAATAAAACCTTCATATGTTACATGACAGGCAGCAGCCACAGCACTTCTTTTTTAACATTACACACAACCAAATATATACTTGTTGCACCTGTCCTCCTGTTTGACAATCCCTGCATCATTTATCCAACAATCATGTACACAATGTCTACCATACCATCCATTCCAAAGCTAGAAAATTTATGAAATGCAAAGCATCAAATAAAAAAGTAAATACAAATACAGTCACTATATCTGAATCTAATCCAATGGCAAAAAGTAAATAAAAAAGCTAGAGGAAACGACATGCTCATGCTTGAATATCTTTTGCTGCTTTAAGATATGCTGTTGCAAAGGGGATTCAGTACCAGATAAAGTGCAGAAACATGCCTGCAATAGTATCCTTGGTGTTGATACAGCAGTAAAACCAGTTGCTGTTAAAGGAGATAGAAGCAAATCTGTGTTGTTTGATGCATCCATGTTGGCCAAAGAGATGAATAAATTAGGAGAGGAAAAAAAATGGGAGATAATGAGCAAAGTTTGGGTCGAATTGCTGTCCTATGCAGCGTGTCGTTGCAGAGCCATTACCCATGCCTCACAACTCAGCAAAGGTGGGCAGCTCATCACTTTGGTTTGGCTGTTGATGGCTCATTTTGGGTTAGGGAGTCAATTTCAAATAAGTGAAGGGCATGCAAGGGCAAAGCTGATTGTGAGGAAGTAACTGAATTTGATTTCTTGTATGTCAATTGAAGATTGTGTGCTTGTTTGTTGTAGTCCTCTTTGGAAAATATAGTTTTCAGTGATGTAAAGAACATATTTTGCAGTTTGAATGTGTAATTTATTTTGGCCTCTTATTAAGGGTTTATCGTGATTTTACTCATTTGATACCTAAATCTTCTTTCTTACCCGTGTAGTAAACAGAGTAATTGCAGGTAATATGCAGTCCCCTTCATCCCTTTCCCCGCTTGCTAATATATATAAACTAATTTCTATTCTTTTCTGTAATTTAAGCGTAACTGACATGTGGATAATCGATGTTTCATTTCTTGAATCTATTGGCATTCTCTAAGATCATGAAGAAGTATGACAAGGTTTCACAATTTTGTTTTCACGATAATTGAACTGAACTGTAAAGTTATTAAATTTTGTTGCTTTTCCTTTTCTTATTATTAACTAAATCACAGATCACTTCAAGGAATGCATCGAAAGTTTTATTAGAGATGATAGACAAATCTTATATCGGCAGCTCTGATGAGGTTTGATGCACTTCACAAGTTTCTGTCTAATCTCAGTGGGATTAAATCTCTACTTTCTGATCCATAGAAATGGTAGAGGTCAAATGGAAATTGCAGAAAAAGGAATTAATACTTTGGTTGAGTCTTAAAAATCTGATCTCTAAAAAAAATTCAAAACTAGTTTGGTATAAGAAGGAAAAAAAAACTCAAATTCATATGGTTTCTCTTTTTTGGGACGGAAATAATCTTTTTAATTTTAAGTGGTACGGATCATACTTAAGGAGGATGAATTTGAGTGATAAGTTGATCTTCGTGTACTTTTTTTAAAATTTATTTCTACACGTGACATTCTAGGCATAACATTTCAATGAGAAAGGTCAAATAAATTTGGCAATATTTTTAGCAATTTTTTTGGTTTAACTTTTTTCCCCATCTTTAGCAAACTTTATTAAAACATTTGTCAATTTTATTTTATTCATTTTTTATTATTTTAGGGTATAGTATTAGACTAGACAATCTTGAAATTTAAATTAAAAAGGACTAAAATTGAAAAAAAAAAAAAAAAACTTGTGGTATGCATTTCTGGATAGGGAACTTTATGATTATGATTTCTAATGAGTTATTTTTTTCTACTGAATCATTTTTCTATTTTGGAATGATTGTTGTATTCATAGGTGTATTAAGTAGGATACTCTAAATGACATAGACAAGTACTTCAATTATTTGTCTTTTTTATTACTTTAGTTTTTCATGAGAGAGAAAATTAATGTGGGAATCTCTTTATTTTGTTGTTTTGCGGTAATCTAAAGTGACATTGCTGATAGGATATGAGTCCAAATGGCAGTTTAGGTGATTTCGAAGATAGGTAATGGTTATTTCACAATTAATAGTTTTTGTTTTTGCATGAAAATGGGATGCAATTTCAGCAACATGAGTTTTTTTTTTTTTTCATTGACGGGCTATAGAGAAGCAAGAGCTAGGAAGAACAAGTACATGATCTTTGATGGTGATAGTTACTGTGTGGGATGAGTACATTGAGTAAGCATTTTAGTACAATCCTGGGCCACTTAATTTTAGTTATAGAATTTGATGCTATTCACATTATGAACATTTGGTGATTTCATGAATTTCAAACCAAATTGACTATAATTTTAAACATTAGCATTGTTTAGAATGCCTAAATTCACCTTAATTTTTATTTTATTTCATAAGTTCTTGTGGGAGTAGAAATGTAGTTGTGGGCTACTTAATACAAAGTTTATAATGTCCTATATCCATCTGAGCTTTAACTCAACACAAGGAGTTCAAAGTGGAAAATTATGAAGCATGTTAAAATAACAATATCTTAAACCTTGAATCAAATATAACAAGCATCCTAGTAGTATTATCCTGCCAAGATCCTCTCGTACATATTATTTATATACATGCTAAGTATATATGTATATATTTATATAAATTGATTTCTATTTCTACGCACGCTACCAACTAAAAATGTTTGAGTTTTTTGAAAAATTGAAGCTTGAGTTTTTGGACCACAATGATCTATCTTGTCTTCTGGCTAAAGAGGTGCCTCCTTATGTGTATCACTTCGTTGGCTATGGGTCAAAAAACTTCTTCTTCTTAGGTTTGGAAAAAAGAGAAGTGGGGTTTGTATCCATTACATTTCTTTTGTACTTGTCTCACTATTTTGTTTTGAAGCATTTCATGTTCTAGCTTTTTGAAGAAACAAAGTTTTAAGAAAAGAAGCAAAATCGCTTGATCTGGGGGCTTGTTCTTGCATTGTTCCTGCGATTTTAATAATGACCTATTTTTTTGGAGCATGCATTTGTGTCATGTCTCTATTGCCAAGCATAGGCCTATTCCTTCTTCTTGCTTCGTGGGTTCTTTGTTTTAGTCATTGAAATTAGATGAATCAACACGTGGCTGGAGAAGCGGTGACATGGGTAAAATCCAAGTTGGGGATACTGGGTTTGGCTTTACCCGACATCATTGAATCCTTCAAATCCGAGTTGGGTTTTGCTCTACCACTGTGTTTAAGTTTGCTTGTGTTTGCCCCATTATTGTTCACTGAAAAACTACGAGAGGTTTTTTGTGACGTGAAGACTTGAGCCACTGTATTGAGGGTCTTTGGGCAAGGGAGACTAACCCAAATATAATTTGGGTTGACCCATGGGTTATTTGGATCGGTTCAAAAAACCAAAAATGGTAAATTGGGTGAGCGAGGGAAGAGAGTGAGGCGACGCAAGCGAGCATCAATTGTGGCGAAAGAGTAGGCTCATGAAGAGTCACGTCGTTACGTGAAGAAAATCTAGGCGAGGGTGTGGTTTGGATCTTGAATTATGAGCATTGTATTGAGGTGGTCAATCGAGTTGGTCAACGGGGAAGGGTAATTTGGGAAGCTTGCATCGCATGAGGAAGTGAAGAAAAGTTTGGGTTTTGGAGTTTCAACCTTTGTGAGGCAAAGAACCACGAAGAAGGCTTCACGTGAAGAGACTTTGCTGTGAGGCGAGGAAAAGCTCAAGTGGTGGGTGCAGGAGAGGAGCCTAAGTTGTTTTGGGTAGACCCATTGCATACGGATTTGGGATGTGTCACTATAAGGTTTAATTTATAAGTGAGTAAAAAAGAAAAAGAAAAAAAAAAAAAAAAAACAGAAACGAGGGAGAAGGACTCATAGAAGAGGGAAAGAAAGAGATTTCGATGAGGGAGGGTGTGCACCACGAGTCGACGCAAGCAAATAGCTTGGGATAAGGGAGTGAAACATTGTTGGGGGCTAGGTGAGGAACAAAAGAACATCGCGAGGTGAAAACAACCACGAGGAGAGATAGGTGAGGGTGAGTGACCTAAATATTTTCGAGTAAACCCATGCGCTATTTGGGTCAGGTCACTGTTCGTTATTGGGTTTAAGTGATTTAGGTGGGCGATCAAAGTGATTTATTAATCCATCAACCGAGGTGAACAAACTTCTTCAATTGGTGAAACAAGGTTAAAAAGAAAAGAAAAGAAAAGCAACAGCGAGAGAGAGAAAGATACCCACACGAGGGAGTAAGAAACATGAAGGCGAGGGAAAAAGTGAAGTAGAACTGTGAAACAAAGCCGAGGGAAGAGGGATTAAAAATGAGGGACCCAAACAGTTGTGAGAGTTGGGCAAGGGGCAAGTCACAATCAAGGAAAAGGATTGGGCAAGGCAAGGCGTGAAAGAAGCAAACCCAGTCTTGCAAATGAAACAATCCAGCATTTTGGTGAGAAAAATATGGCTGCTTCAAGCAGATACTAAGGTTTTTTAGCATTTTTTTTAAGTGTTGAACTCCTCCTTGGTTGATTTGTGTAGAGTTGATTCCTTACTACCCAACGAACCTTTTTCAACAATTGTGAACTTATTGGGAAAAAAAAAATTGTGTCGGATTTGCATATCGAGTGACTTTGGTAAGAATCAGTGCTTTCTTTTCCTCACCCTGCTCTGTTTGGAGCATCTCTTCTTTAGCTTTGAACCATTTGTGTATTTTCTTAACCTTTGCAGTCGGGCTTGGCAGAGTGCACTTAGTTGGTGTTGCACTGAAATTGAATTGTATCTATATTAATTCTGGAAGTATCCACCATTTTCAATCATTTGATTTTGTTGGAGCTTGTCGTCTGACGTCGAAATTTATTGGGGTAAGAATGGAATTGTATCTTTCCCATATTTTTTATTTTATTTTGCCTCTCACGTGATGATTAATTCCTTGAATCCCTTTCCTCGTTGCTTTGAATTTTACCTCAATGTTGAATGTAATAATTTTTTTATTTTTATTTTTATTTTTATTTTTTTGGTGTTGGTGTATATAGGATTTGATGCACTGTTGTTGCTGTCAACATTTGTGAGCTAGAAAATTATAATCAATATTAGGAAAGGCTAATAGCTTTGGAGTTGGAGTTTACTTCCTTTTTGTGAGTGTTTCCTCTCCTCTGTCGCTTTGTTAATTGAATGCATCATTGAACTATACCTCAATGCTAATTGCATTGCCTTTGCTTGATTGTTCGTATTTTAAAGCTAATTGCATCTCATTTGCTTGTCTTTTGCTCCAAGTTGCTTGGTCTCTAATGCATTGTTCCGTTGTAGATAAGCAATACGTTTGTAATTGGATCGAGATTCAGCCTTTTTATGTTTCTTTATCTTTGTAATGCGCAATCTGAACTTTCAATAAGTAAGTATTTGTGGCAGTCAAATTTCCCTAATGGCAGAGATTTTTGTGTGATGAATGCAACTTTTGATTTCTAGTTCTTGTGTTGATACAAGCGAGGCTTTATAATATGGCTAAAGTGAAAGGGGGAAGCATTGTTCCTCGTCGTGGAGTGCAACAATCTCTAGTGGGTTCTTTTGGCATTTCCAAGTCAAAAAAGGGTAAATCTGAAAAGAGTCCTTTCAAGGCCAAGAAGGACACGGATCCGCCGAGCGTTCCTTCAGCGAATTATTGGTGTAAGGCACCTTTCTTTGGTGCACTGGACTTATTTTGGGCAAGGGCAGACTTATTTGATGATGATGGCGGAAGCCTATCTGATTTTCTTCTTGGTGGGGTTGAACTAGAGAAAAGGGCTGAGGCTTTTATTTGTCCCGAGTTTATTGTGCGTTTTCATATGGAATGAGGCACTTACCATTATTCTTTTCCCACTTTTGAGGACTATATGGGGCCCAAAGATGATTTTGACATCTGAAGTGCAGCTATTTTTTGTCATCAATCATATTACGAGGTGCTTACTAGAGCTAAGATTGCTAGTACTGTTTTCTAGTGCATACGGATTAGACAGGAGCCATCTTGGTTGTAGTTCACGCTTTCTCGTTGGAGCTCCAGTTCTCACACTTTTATTGCTCATAGCGCGATGATCCCTACTTTGGAGGATGTAGCTATTTTGACGGGATTAGAGCACCTTGGGTCAGCGAACCCTAGCTTTGGAAGTTTGTCTCTTAGCCAGATGGCTATCATTGCGAAGTTGGGGGAGACTGTGGCACTAACAGGGAAGCTATTGAGCCGTTATCAAAATAAAGTGTTAGTTAAGCCTCAGTTACGAAAATGACCAAAAAATACTTTTGTAGGATGGCTTCATTATTGGTTTCGAGATCTTAGCTACCAGGTTTAGGGAAACGCAGAGGATGGATTTATTGGTCCAGAAATGGAAAGGGGCAAGTGGGGGAGTGTTGAACATTTAG